ATCTTGGCTGACTGCAACCTCCACCTCCTGGGTTCAAGGGGTTTTCCTGCCTCAGCCTCCCATGTAGCTGGGACTACAGGCATCCACCACCACGCCTGGCTAATTTTTGTATTTTTGGTAGAGACAGGTTTCACCGTGTTGGCCAGTCTGGTCTCGAATTCTTGACCTCAAGTGATCCGCCTGCCTCAGCCTCCCAAAGTGCTGGGATTACAGTTATGAGCCACTGCGCTTGGTCCTGTTTTTGTTTTTTAAAACAGGGTCTCACTCTGTGGCCCAGGCTAGACAGAGTGCAGTGGTACAATCACAGCTCACTGCCGCCTGGAACTCCTGGGCTCCAGCGATCCTTCTGCCTCAGCCTCCTGAGTAGCTGGGACTACAGGCACGCACCACCACACCTGGCTAACTTTTTATTTTTTGTAGAGGTGCAGTCTTGCTTTGTGCCCAGGCTGGTCTTGATTTCCTAGGCTCAAATGGTCCTTCTGCCTCGGCTTCCCAAAGTGCTGGGATTGCAGGCGTCAGCCACCATGCCTGACCTGGGGTGGCTTTTGCCTCATCTTCCCTCTGTGTCCTCCTTCTCTCCCTGTTTCTGGTGCCCCCATCTTGGTTGAAGCCCTGCGTCCACCCAGACCACCGCAGGAGCCATACACACACCCCTCCGCCCGCCCCGCCTCTGCCACTCTAACCCGCCGCACTCACGGGATGCCAATCTCGAACAGGTTGTTCTGGATCAGCTGTTTCCCCAGCATAATGATGCTAAGCTGGATGCATAGCTCCATCAGGCAGCCTCCTGGCGCACACTGTGGACAGAGAGCAGCATCAGCTCCGCTACAGGGACACCGGGAGAGGGACCGCAGCCCTGCAGGTCCACCCTCATGCCATGGGTTGACCTGCGTCCTCCAAAAAAAGACGCTCAGGCTCTAATCCCCACCACCTGGGAACGTGGCCTTATTTGCAAAAAGGGTCTTTGCAGATGTAGTCAGGTCAGGGGGTGTTCATGCTGGGGTAGGGTGGGCGCCCATCCGAGGACTGGTGTGCTCAGAAGAAGAGAAGACGTGGGCACAGAGGGAAGAGGCCGCATGAAGATGGAGGCAGAGGGTGGAGTGGCCGAGTAAAGGAACGATGAGGACTTCTGTAGTCCCCAGAAGCTAGGAGAGGCAAGGCAGGTCCTCCCCTAGAACCCTTGAAGGGAACACAGCCTGGCTAACACCTGGATGCTGCACTTCCGACCTTCAGAACTGTGAGACTCCATCTCTGTTATTTGAAGCCGCCCAGTCTGTGGGATTGAGTTGCGGCAGCCCCAGGAAACTGGCACACCCCGCCTACAGGCTGCTGGGCTTGGGGGCTGTGGCTGGGAGCTGGGAGCACATTGGGAGGGAGTAGGCAGGGGTGGGGCAGGGCCTCAGGGTGCCTCCTTTTTCCCAGTGCCACTGGCCGGTCCGATGCACCAGTCACCATCCACTGCTTCTGTACCACCATGGCAGGCTGAGCGCATGCAGCAGGCAAGCTCCACAGGAGGCGGAAGTCACCCCTAAGGCCTAATGCCCCTGACGCAGTGGGCCTGTGCCACCTTAGGCCAGGGACCCCACAAGCAGGTGACAGTCAGAAACCTATCTGCGCTGGAAATTTAACTTGTCCAAGCAAAGGGAACACCAGGGATGCGTGGTGACCCCTGAGGCACAGTAAATTTGTTCTGCATTCCAAATAAAACCTAGTAAATGCCCACATCTGTCTTGGAGAGCCATGCTTTCAGAAAAAGCAATTACACCATTTGCTTTATTATATGACTTCTCTGACCCGGGACGAGTGTGACAGGGGATGATGATACAAAAAGGAAAGAGCATTTCATAAGTTTGGCACAGACGCCCATTACTGTGGAGGAGGCCCATGTCTTGGGCTGCCCAGGGGCCTGCATTCAGGTAGTTGAACCTCTAGGCTGCGCTCCAGACAGCCAGATCACCCTGTACCTGATGTCCACCCTATCCTCGATACCTTGTTCCACAGGGTCTTTATCAAGAAGACCCACCCTCTTATTTTCTGATAAGCTGAATTACGCTGTGGGTTGGAAATGCTGAGACCAGAACCACTGATAGGCCCTGAAGCCCCGGCTTGGTCTGATGGAGCCCCTGATTGTGAAACAGACAGTGGAGCAAGTCCATGGGCCGTGACAGAGGCTGAACCAGGCTGGCACAACCAGACCTTCTGTGGCCAGGATCGCTGGGCAGAAGTGAAATGCCACGAGCATGGTGTTTGAGGGTAAAGAGACAAGCATTTCAATGTCTAGTTAAAACAAACAAACAAACAAAGGTAGCCAAGTTCTGTTTTGTCCTCATTAATTCATCTTTTTTTTTTTTTTTTGAGGAGCCTTGCTCTGTCACCCAGGCTGGAGTGTAGTGGCGAAATCTCAGCTCACTGCAACGTCCACCTTCCAGGTTCAAGCGATTCTCATGCCTCAGCCTCTCGAGTAGCTGGGATTACAAGCATACACCACTGCGCCCAGCTAATTTTTTGTGTTTTTAGTAGAGATGGGGTTTCACCATGTTGGCCAGGCTGCTCTCGAACTCCTGACCTCAGGTGATCCAACAGTCTCGGCCTCCCAAAGTGCTGAGATTACAGGCATGAGCCACTGCGCCCAGCCTTCATTCATTCATCTTAACCAGAAGAGAAATATTCAGTCTCACAAAAAAAGAAATGAAAAGAAAAACCAGATGTCCTGTTTTTCTTTCATAAACTCTATAGCGAGTTTACCCTTCTAGGTGATTCTATATGAACACACCAAATAAGATCAAAGCCTGCCCCACCACGTCAGGGGAACAGAAAAGTTCCCAGCAGGAGGGAAAGAAAGCACTGCTCTTTGCTGAACAAATATGCTGCGGCTGCTTCTCCCAAGTGCTTCTCCCAAGCACGGTGTAGACAAATCGTAAGCAAAACACAAGGGGCTACCAGAAACGAATAAAATTTCGGTTACCTCTTCCATTCGGAAGGAACGGAAAATGTACACGTAGTCGCCTGGGCGTCCGACAAACCTGAAACGATGGGGGAGGTCGTTAGAAAGAAGATGAGCCCCTAGCTCAGCTCTGGGAGAGACCCCCAAGTGGGGACTGTGCAGCGTGTGAGTCCTGCAGGCCCAGCCTCAAGGTTATCTACGGGCGGCTCTCCCTGCCTGGTCGCATCTGCTAAAAGATGACCACAGTGGTTTTCACTGGTCAAAGGTTGGATTCCCAAACCCAGAGATGGGTCAGAAAAAGGAACTTCTTCAGTGAGAGGCCATGAGACTGAGAGGCAGTGGGAAGGGGGCCCAGCGGGGCATTAAGGCAAAGACCACCGTGGTCTGAAGACTGCAAGCTGCTGCGCTAGCTTCCCCGGGACTCAGGACGTGCCGCTGGCACAGTGATGTCTGTGGACAGCTGGCACAGAAGCACTCTGGGGACCTCGGGCAGCTGGGGCAGGTGGTGGCCAAAGGCCACCTTGGGTGGGGATAGACAGCCTCTCAGCCTTCTCGGGGCTGGTGTGGGGTGTGGAGGCTTCCGAGAGCCTGCTCCATCCTGGATGCACTTGGCGAGGACTGGGCCCCTTGGCAGGGCCCTGGGGCCCTGGGCCAGGAGGGCGGGCATGGCACTGGTGAATCACATGATGTGGAGGAGGCGGCCTTTTGGGGGGCTCTGAGATGAGACCAGCCAGCCCCTTGCGGGAGTGGCGGTGGAGGTGGGGGCATCATTGTGGGTGGGCCGCAGGCCCTACCACAGCCTGGGATGGCTCCAGAGGGTCCAGGCGGGACAGGTTTCACCCCACCAGGAGCTGTGAAGAGGGCTCAAGTGGCCAGCAGCCGCACTTCCACGCCCTCCTCTCTCCTTATCCCCACTCTGTGGACTCCTCCCTACCCCTCACTTCCCGGGGTCCCCACTGCCTGGGGTCCTCGCTGCCCAGGGCCCTCAATCTTGGGTCCTCACTGCCCCATCCTCACTGCCTGGGGTCCTGACTGCCTGGGCTCCCTGCCGCCCAGGGTCCGGCCGCTCTGGAGCCTCAGCAGGGCCCAGGCCTTCTCCCTGACCCTCATCGGCTGCGGGTGCCACAGTGTCTGCCCTGTCCTGGGCTCCAGGTGCCCCCCGCCTGTGGGGAGGGAGAGCCCTCCCCTTGGATTTGGGAGAAGCGAGGTGGGGAAAATGCTGAAGATGTCCCTACCGGCCTTTGAAGAACGCCACGTAAAAGATGGGGGTGTAGGAGTTCACAAACTTCAGCAGGAAAGCCTTGAAGATCAGCCTCTCCTCGAAGCTTTTCTCCGTCTTCGGGACCTCTAGAGGGAGGGGTAGGATGATACTGAGGCTGTGGCTGGGATGGCCCCCAACAGCCTGGTCCAGTCTCCGGCTGGCCACTGGCACCGTCACTCAGTTGGCTCTCATAGGTGTGCCAGGGCCTGTGATCAGGATCCCCGTTCAGAGCCAGGGAGCTGGGGCCCAGAGAAGTTAAGCAGCAAACTCAAGGGTGCACAGCAAGAGGCAGGCGACTCCGGCTGCCTGAGTCCAGGCCATGAGTACCTGGAATGTGGGCACTCACCGATCTTGGTGAGCCACCGGGCTATGCAGCCGTACACCTCATCCAGGAGGATGATGACCACTAGGTTGATGATGACCGCAGTAGCTGTGACTGTGACCCGGATGTTGGACCGCACGGAGGGGGAGGAGTTCATGGCCAAGGCGGCGGCCATGGAGATTCTGTAGATGATGACGCCAAGGACGATGGCAAAAGTCACTGCAATCTGCAGGGGGGGGAAGGGGCGCTCTTGGTTGGGGGCCCACCCAGGACCTTCCTGGGCCTGCCCCATCTACTCCCTCAGCCCAGCTGTCCCCCAACCTTCCTGCTCTTCTGCTTCAAAACAAGGACTGACATTTCTTGAGCACCTGCCAAATGCTAGGCACTTTCTGTGCATTAACTAGAGACAGATGGACGAGGGGCTAGTTTCTGTTCCAAGGAAGAGGACACTGAGGTTCAGAGAGATTACGTAGACAGGCCAGGTCACCCAGCTCAGGAGCTGGGATTTACCAGGCGGTCTACCCAAGCCTGCAGTTCACAAGATCTTTGCGCTACCATCTTCCTGGAGCCCAAGCACGGTCCCCAAGCAGAGCCCAGCACACAGTATGGTCACCAGGCCAGTGGCTGGTCCCAGAGCAGACTGACTGCTGGGAGGGGCTTCTCCCCCAACCCACGGTGAGCTCAGGGACATCCTCACATGGTGTGCAGGGCTGAGGTGTGCCTCCCTCACAGCCACCTCCCGGGGACTCCCCTGGTAAAGGAGGCGGGTGCTGCCTGGGATGGGGCAGGGCTTTGGGTCTGGCTGGAGATGCTTTGGGTCCCTTCTCCCAGCCAGCAGCTCCCTTCCAGCTCCCCCACCAGAGCGAGCTCCTCCTCTTGCCAAACCTACCGTGGGACCAGAACATTCCATAAAACTTGGGTTGGCGGTTGCCTGAGAAACCGTGGTGGGAGCTGGCTACAATGACAAGATTGTTCCACACACTGCTGTCTGTCTGTCTGTCTGGGCTCCCTCACCCTGCCCTGCCCTGCCCTGCCCAGGGGTGTGGATGCCCCATTCTGAGCCCTCATTGAGGATGGATGGACCAAGGGCTGGGTAGGAGAAGCTCACAGCAAAGTCAGGCTCCTCCCCTGGGCGTGAAACCACCCACAGGACACAGGCTCTATCTTGTCACCCTGTGTCCCCGCGTTCCAGGAAATCGCACATTTGCTCCCATGCAACGGTGCAGAGGGCAGGTCCCGTCCCTGCTAGCACGGTCACGGGTAGCTCCCAGGACAGGCCCAGGAGGCCTGGGGTTGCCCTCTGTGTCTCCCAGTTGCAGTGTGGGATGGGTCTGTTTGCCCCAGAGGGAGTCCGCAGCTTTCAGAAACCTAGAAAAGCTCTTATTTCACGTTCTGGGCCATTACCACCGGCTTCTGCAGGCATCTGCCAGTAACACATGGTGACCACATCCTGTCCAGGAAAACGCCTGCAGCCCTCACCACACCCTGACGAAGGAGTAGCCCTGCTGCGAGGCGTGGGGACCACTCCCTGGCCAGTTCCGGGGAACGAGGGTTTTCCTTGGAAAACCCCTCAGTCCTGCCAAGAGGCCTCCAGGACGTCTGTCCCCGTGCCAGCATGCGGAGGTGCAGGTGGAGCACCGGGCCTGTGGGAGACTCAGTGGGGGAGGCCCTCCACCCCTGCAGGCGTGTCCCCTGCCCTGCCATGGGGCAGTTGGGCCCACAACAGGCACACCCTGCGGCAGGCTCCCTTCCAGTCTCCCTGGTCCATCTCCCCTGCATCTCCAGGAGCAGGGGCATGAGGGGGCACATCCTAGGTGCTCAGCCAATGTTTGTTCACTGAATGAAACTCCCAAGTTGAAGACAAAGCCGTGTCCTCTTCAACCCTATGAAGCCCTTGACGGGTTTACCAGGATGTCAAGGCTGGGAAAAGAGCCGGCTACTTCCCTATCCAATATCCTCTCTCTCTGTCTTTCCTCTACCATCCTGCCTTGCTGAGACGGCAGTGCGTGCTCATTCCTCAGCCTCCCTGCAGAGGAGGTGGCCACGTGAACCAGTTCTGACCAATGAGATGCAAGCAGAGGTGTGGCAGGTCTTCTGCGAAAGCACCTTCAGACAGGGGCTGCCACCCCTGGCCCATCTCTTCCCCTGCCCTTCCCCTTCTTCCAGCCTGGAGAGTGGAAGTGATGTTGGAGGTGCAGCAGCCATGTGGTGACCAAGAGGGGACCTACTCCTAGGACAGGCGAGCAGAAGGTCAGAGAAGCCAGTGACTCTGATGGCATCGTGAGGCCACCAGACCAGCCCTAGACGGCCACCTCCTTCCCGGCCCCTCACTGGCCCTTCTGTGACAATGCTGTTGCTTCTGCAGTGGGAGTGGCTGAACCTCAGGCTAGCCTTTGCTGGGTGAGGGATGGGGAGGCTCTGGCTATCTCCCAGCCCCCTCGCCTGGCGCCTGGCCAGAGGGGACACATCCCCTCAACACAAGGCCAGGTGCCCTCCCACCAAGTCACTGGAGAGCACAACAGCCCCCAGCTCCCACTGAGGGGCTCTCCTTCTCCAGGCAAGGGGGATGAGCAGGCCCCGCCGCTGAGACCACCCTGCTCTGGACTTGTTTATGTCGGCCGGGGTCCCTCTTACTGTACCTGAGAGCATGAGGGGACACTGGATCTTCCCGCTGCTTCCGCGACTCGATCAGGGGGCCCTTGGCCCCTCACTCAACCCAGAAAACAAAGACAGCCCCCTGCCTCTGTCTCTCCAAGTTCCTACGGAATGGCATGGATCTTGGAGCAGGCAGTCCAACTGGCACCGGCTTCTGCAGGCATATGCCAGCGACTACATGGTGACCACGGCCACCGCCTCTGGCTGGCGCCAGAGGAGAGGGTGCAGTCTTCCAGCTTTAGTTGCCGTGTCAGCAGGAGAGGGATGGTACCAGGACTGGCCAGTGGCAAGGACTGAATGAGACTCTCCAGTGGGGGCCTCAGTGCACAGCTGCCAACCTGGGTCTCCGAGTACCAGCTCTCTGGGCTTGGTGGCCGCAGGAGGAGCTGCCTTCAAGCTGTCAGACTGGACAAGGGCAGGGTCATTTCTAACATGACCACAGCTGGCTCCGAGCCCTTGCTGGGTGATGGAAACACAGCTAGTATGCGGCCAAGGCCGAATCAACTGGGGGTTGAAATCCCTGGGATTGAAATCCCCTAAAAGCCACAAGATGTTTGCCCACGAGCCACGTCACAGACTTGCGGTCCCCTGAGTAGCACTATCGTGTCCTGTCTGCGTGTTATTTATTTAATAGTTTTCTTTTTAAAAACTTTTTAAAATTTGTTTTTACTTAATTTAATGCTGATGCCTGTATCAGGGCTCAAGTCATGTTTGGTCACAAAATAAACAGTTTTTTTTTGAGACAGGGTCCCGCTGTATCGCCCAGGCTGGAATGCAGTGATGCAACCACAGCTCACTGCAGCCTCGACTTCTCAGGCTCCAGCAATCCTCCCACTACAGCCTCCCGAATAGCTGGGACCACAGGCGTGCACCACCACGCCAGCTACTTTCTGTATTTTTGGTTTTGCCATGTGACTCAGGCTGGTCTCAAACTCCTAAGTTCAAGCAATCCTCCTGCTTCAGCCTCCCAAAGTGCTGGGAATACAGGTGTGAGCCACTGCACTCAGCCAATTTAATGGCTTTCTTAAAAAGTCTTCAGTTTCTTCTTAAATGATACCTTTGAATCCCAGGCTTGAATTACTAGATACTTAAAAAATCAAGTCTCTCAAAATGAAAGCTGTGTATCAGGGACCACTGAAATCATCTCATGTACCCGCTGGCATGTGAAATCCCCACTGGGGGTCACTTTGGAACCCTGGTCCCTTCCCATTTCAGGGGTAGTGGTGAGTCTTCCCCACCCACCCACTGCCCTGAGGAGATGGGGCCGGCGCACCCTGGGACCAATAGTACTGCCATGTGAAAGGCTGAATCAGGTCTTGGAGGACACCAATCACTTCCTTTTTTTGTTTTTGTTTTTGAGACAGAGTCTTGCTCTGTCCTCCGGGCTGGAGTGCAATGGCGTGATCTCTACTCACTGCAACTTCTGCCTCCAAGGTTCAAGCGATTCTCCTGCCTCAGCCTCCTGAGTAGCTGGGACTACAGGTATGAACCACGACACCAGCTAATTTTTGTATTTTTAGCAGAGACGGAGTTTCACCATATTGGCCAGGCTGGTCTCGAACTCCTGACCTCAAGTGATCCGCCCGCCTCGGCCTCCCAAAGTGTTGGGATTACAGGTGTGAACCACCACGCCCAGCTGATGCCAATCACTTCCTTGCGGTTTCCCCTGACTTCCTCTGGCCTTAACCTTCTGGAACTTACCATGAAGATGATGGAGACCAAGTTGGTGAGGTAGGCTGGGAACCGATCTCTCCAGGTCAGCTTCACTTTGTCAGTCTACAACACAAAACGATGCCCGTCACTGGCTGGAACCATCACGATGAGACATGTCTGTGTGTCAGCGTGGGGGTGTGTGTGTGTGTGTGCGTGGGCCCAGGGACAACTTGAACAACAGGAGTACTCAGAAAAGCCTTCAAAAATGCCCACAGGTGATGAGCCAGTGCAAACGCATAGGGTTCCAAGAAGCATTTGGGGGTTTATCACCTATGTCACAGGATAACAGGACTAAGAACCGTTAAATACTGTGATTCCTCTGTGTACGGGGCATTGTAATGCCAGCTGCCTTTCTAAAGACTGTTGGATCCACGTCTGGGAGAAACTTGGACCTGGAGTCCATGTCTTCAGCTAAAAGTCTCACTTCTAAGTCTAGAAGATGGAAGATGTTTTCCCAGTGCCACCCAGACCATAATAGTTATTTTTCCTTTGTGGAGCAAGCTGAAACAAGCAGCTAGCACTACAAGTTCAAACGTCGTCTGTGGTGACACATGGCCCGAAGGCTCTCAGCACCCAAGCAAGGTTGGCTTGGTCTGGAGAAACCCTAGGTAGAAGCTCATCACTAACCCGGGACGTTTCAAATGGGGGTGGATTTTTTCCATGGGAAAATGCATGTATTAGGTCACGGAATGCGGACAGGGGCACGACACCGGAGGCCACTCATTCCAGGGGTGGGTGGCATGCGTGTTAACGAGAAGACCAAGAATCGCTTGCAGGCAATTGTGACAAGCACGTTTCACGAGCTCCAAATCAAGCCAGAGCCCCCCGCCCCCGCCACCGCAGACCCACCACAGCCATGCAGTGCCATCGCAACGCGCCGGGCTCGCTGGGTGCCGAAGGAAGACAGAGAAACATGGATGTGAATGTTAAAAAAAAAAAAAAAATACAACAGTTTGTTGAAGAAAAACACAATCGACTTTGATTGCCTGCAAACAGTCAAGACGCGCGTTGCCCGCAAAATAGAAAAGTACCAATTTCACCCCCGCCATGGCTGTCTTAACCCTCTGCTTCCATTTGTTTGTTGACTCCTCTGGGATATGCCGGCGCTTCTGAGGGCGGGTGGGGGGAAAGAGAGCACCGTGTGGTGAAGCGGGAGGTGGGCCGCAGACTGCGGGGCCCAGGGAACCGTCCCCATCTTGGCAGCAGGCTGGCCCCTCCCGGTGCCAGCCGTAAGCTCACTGCCAAGGCTGACTTGGGTTCTGGGCATTTTAAACAGATAGGAGATGGCAGAGACCCACGTTCGGAAAGAACATCTGTAACCAAGGTGGTGGAGACAGGAGAGACTCCAGCACGCATCCTCCACTGGACCGCGTCACGCCCCACCTCGCAGACGGCAGCTGGATTCCAGCGGGAGGTAGCGGCCAACACCAGCGTCTTATGACAGCAGGAAGGAAGCCACACCCAGGAGCCCAAGCTCATGTGCCAATTAGGTGGTGGGCCTCTTTTCACAAATGAATTCATAAATGAATTCAGTGCCATAGCTGGAGGGAAATCAAAACCAGAGGGCAGCCGCTGGGAGCCAAATGAAACGGAGGAGGAAATAAAGGGTACGGCCCATCAGAAGCAGACAGGGCCTGGGGGTACCTCTGAGCTCTGCAAAAATAAACCCCTATGCCTCCGTTGCTTTCATGTGATCAGAGAGCCTGGGCTGAAGGCAAGCCACGGGCCACAGAGGCAGACGGACCCTGGGTCCAAGTGGTGGCTTCCTTTCGGCCCCTGTTGCCCAGATTCGCTATTGTGGCTTGGTTAGGTCCCTTGCCTTAAATGGACATAGTGTGTGCCACAAAGCCCTTTTCTCCCCCTCAGGAAGGAGCGGAATACCCACCCATGCTCATTCTAAGGGGTGCAACCACACGGCTACAGGGTGGGCTATCTTGGGGGCCACACACTGACATTTCCACCTAGGCTTGGGGGCCGGGACGCTGCCCTGAAAACACGCTGGATGCCTGCAGGGCCCTAGAGATGGTGGCATCCAGGCCTTCTGCTTTCCCAGGAGGGAATGAGGGGCAGAGGGCCTGAAGGGTCAGTTCAGAGGGCAGCTGGCACCCGGCGTGCATGTCCGATGAGTTAAGTCAGACAGACAATCTATTTTAGGGCGATAACTCCTGCTTTTATGGTTGTATTCTGCATACATTTCAGTCCTGCTCAGATCCTCAAGGGTGTTTAAAAAGACATACTTCCTGGCTATAGGAGGACCGAGCTGTACCCCAAATTCCCATTGTGTTTGAAGAGCTGGGCCTTGGGAGGAGGCTTTCTAGAGCACCTACTTTACCCTCCAGATGGGATTTTGGCAATTGCAACCCCCGACCACTTTGAACCTGTGGAGCACTGTCCCCTGACACATTGACAAGGACAGACAAACCCAGGGGTTTGTCCTGATCGGTCCCCAAGGCTGAAAATGTAGATATGACACAAGGTTGGGACCTGTGAGAGCTCCCTCGACTGCCCTCATCCCTCAGTGCAGGCATCTCCAGCCTCTGTTAGAGGCTGACAAGGCCAGGAACTCCATGCCTGCTTGTCCCATATCATGTGAAAAACACCATTAAAAAAACTTTGCTGGGCACCGTGGCTCACGTCTGTAATCCCAGCACTTTGGGAGGCCAAGGCAGGCAGATCTCTTGGGGTCAGGAGTTCGAGACCAGCCTGGGCAACACAGTGAAACACAAAAAATTAGCTGGGCACGGTGGTGCACGCCTGTAGTCCCAGCTACCCGGGAGGTTGAGGCATGAGAATTACTTGAACCCGGGAGGCGGGGGGACCAGTGAGCCGAGATCACGCCATGCACTCCAGCCTGAGCGACAGAGACAGACTCTGTCTTAACAAACAAACAAATGAACAAACAAACAAACAAACAAAGCTGGCAAGCACCTCTGGAGGTCTTCGAGAATCCTGGCTGCACATACGACTTAATTTGAATGAGACGTTTGGGGAAAAAGAAGAGCAATTATTACAAAAAGATGATGACCTCAAAAACATTGCAAAACATGTCTCACCCTCATTCTCACAGTCTGAGTGAAACAAGGAACTGGCCATTTGCTCAGGGGTGCTGGTTTGGCAAAGGCTTCTGTTTCGTTGTTTGACATAGAACAGGAGGGGTGTACTGTGAAAAAACTTTGAAGCCTCAAAGCCACATGGTTCTTGTGGTTGAAATGCTTGCTGAAATTTGAGATCACCCTCAGGATACATCAAGACAGAGATCTAGAGGAGGTTTGATAAACTATAGCCCTTCGGCCAAATCTGGCCCCCTGTCTGTTTTTGCAAATAAAGTTTCATTGGAACACAGTGTGTGGAACACAGGCCCATGTGTTTACCTACTGTCTATGGCTCCTTTTGCTGCTACCATGGCAGAATTGAGCAGCTGCAACACGGGGTTACACTGCCTACAATCTTTGTTATCTGGGCTGATCCCAGGTCTACATTGTTGATGAACACAGTGTTTTATTGCTGGGAAAGTTAACCCGCAGTGGCCACCATACCTCTTTGTTTTTGGACTCTTTCTTCAGAGACTTCTCCAAGACTCTGGCTTCATATTCAGCTCTGGGATGATCCTATGAATGAAACCAAGTCAAGACGGAGGCCTTGTTAATTGTGAGTCTGAGTTTCTCAGTGTCAGCATACTTGGCAAATCAGTCCATGGATTAGCCTCGGGCACCCTTTGGGTCCAGTTCATAGTTGGCTGCTGAGAATATTTCCAATGTAATCCCCCTGTCTGTGGTCTGGATAGTGACCCAGGATTATCCCGCTTGTGGGGAACCCCAGCCCATTGAGAGTTCCACCAAATCTGGCCTCTGTGTCCTCCTAGAGGTGGAGAAACCTGTACCAGGCTGCAGTGAACACCCAGCCATGAACTGGCCCTTAGAACATTCTACGGAGAAGCTGTGGGGGTCGGAAGAGATGCAGTACGTGTCGGCAAGCGCGGGCAGCCTAGAGGTGCCAGGCCTTGGGGAGCTCAGAGCAGGTCAGCGAAGGGTGCTGGAAAGGAAGAATGGGTTAGGAGAGACCGGAGGTGGAGAGAAAGCAGAGACCCCGCCTGCGTGGAGAAACTGCGGGAACTGCATGGTAGAAACAGATTAGGTGCAAGAAAAGGTCCCTCTCCCAGGGAGACAGGCTGTGGGAAGATAGAGGAGCGACAAAAAATTCCAAACCTTGACAGCCTCCTTCAGGGAACCAGAAAAGTAAAAACAAAAACACAAAGATGTCATTATTTAGGTTGTTATTTTAGAAATAGGACCTGTCCACTAAAGACAACTTTCTTTGAGATGGAGTCTTGCTCTATTGCCCAGGCTGGAGTGCAATGGCGTGATCTTGGCTCACTGCAAGCTCTGCCTCCTGGGTTCAAGTGATTCTCCTGCCTCAGCCTCCCGAGTAGCTGTGATTACAGGCGCCCGCCACCACACCCGGCTAATTTTTTGTATTTTTAGTAGAGACGGGGTTTCACCATGTTAGCCAGGATGGTCTTGATCTCCTGACCTCGTGATCTGCCCTCCTCGGCCTCCCAAAGTGCTGGGGTTACAGGCGTGAGCCACCGCGCCCGGCCCTAAAGACAACTTTCTTCAGAACTAGGATGAAGGTAAAGGATGCAGGTGAGCTGGGATGGGTGGGTGATCCTGGGTTCCTTTAAGGTTCATTCACTGCTGCTTGTGGGTGACTATGGGCTGTGGCCTTTGTAGCTGTGGCCTTTCCCATGGTTTTGGAAATTCCCCAAATTTCCAAATTTCAGTGCTGGACTGAAATGTCTCAGACTCAGCTAAGGCATACATGGGCCACATGATGGGACACAAGTGTCCTGCTTCAGTACTGAAGTCCGGGGTTCAGGCTATATGGGGGGGAGGCCCCGTTCGCCTGTAGTTATTACTCCCAAAGGAGGCCCTGACCAGCTGCTGGGGGGTGCAAGTGGCTCACTGTGGGAAATTCATTCAGGCCCCTTGGCACTGTGTGTGCCCTGTGACTTCGGTCGTCACCCCCAAAATCAAGATCCCAAACCATCGGGGTCAGGAGATCAGGGAATGGGATCCCAAGGGGTTGAGCAAAGGGGACTGGACCTCACCGCCAACTTTCCCCAGCCACAGGGACATCACAGAAAGGACATTTGAAATCGACTTCTGAACAAGACAGCGACCGCTTTTTTTTTTTTTTTCTATCTGAATCTTTCTAATTGAAACGGCAAGGAAGAGAACACGCAGAGAGCCCCCGCCATGGACAGGGCTCTGGGCTGTGTCCCGGGTCTGCCCTGCAGAGCTGTGTGCCGTGGACAGGTTGCGTTGCTCTCCGCCTAGTCATTTGTGGACAGGATAATGAGACCGGCTGAGGAAGAGGGTGGAGGCTGTTATCTGGGCAGGTAAAGGTGTGGCCCAGTGGCCACAAGCTGGGCAGCCATTTACAGGGCACTGTGTGCTGGGTCAGGTTCTAAGTGCTTTATATCTATTGACCCATTGAGACCCTACAAATGCCATCAAGTGAGGACACTGAGGTACAGAGATGTTAAGCAATCTGCCCGGGGTCACACAGCAAGGCTGGTGCCGAATCTGCATGGAACTCTGGCAGCCTGGCCGCAGAGGCCCGTCTTGTACGCTCTGAGTTGCCGTGCCTCTCCCAGAAAACTCGAGTCCCCTTGTCTGTTGACAATATTGTCAGCCCGAAGCTGGCACATTTGGCTGAAGAGTGGCCCATGGGTTCAGTGTGAGAGGGAGCAGATTGTGTGAGAAAATACAACAGAAAAGTTAAGAAAAAGTTTTTAAAGAAAAAATTCCTTTAAAAGAAAAATATCTTTTAAAAGAAATGTCCACATTACAATAAAAATGCATGAAAAGTTTCTCTTTTTAAAAGGAGCATGTGTAGCCTGGGCAACATAGCAAGACCCTGACTCTTACAAAAAATTAAACAATTTGCCAGGCGTGGTCGTGTGTGCCCGTGGCCCCAGCTACTTGGGAGGCTGAAATGGGAGGAGGGCTTGAGCCCGGGAGGTCAACGCTGCAGTGAGTTATGATCATGCCATTGCACTGCAGCTTAGGTGACAGAGGGGGACCCTGTCTCCCAAAAAGTGGGGAGCACGTTTTATAACATTAAATAGTGGTCAGCGTGGTTGCACCTTACAGCGTGTGCATGAGGTCGCCTCTGTTGTGCACCAAGGCTAATTGTGGGGACTGTTACTCCTTTTCATTCCCACTTACCCTGAAGGGAATTCCTGCTGGACTTGGGATCCCTGTGAGTACAGTTCACCCGGCATCCCAGGGGCCACGTAATACTGAATGTCCCTCTCTCTGGAGCATGAAGATGCCAGACACTGGCTTTCCCTCTACGTTAGTCAAGGATCCGTTCCCTCTTGTCAGCCACGCCCGGCTGCAGGCACAGAGCTGGCCCCAGGGAATGCGGGCTTGGCACCCGGGGAGGCAGATGCTCACGGCCACCTTGGGAGACCCATGGATAGTGTCCATTCCCTCTCCACCTCCACGGGTGGTGCCGACAGCCCGGGCAGCCCCCAGACGCGATGAGGTCAGCGTGGTGAGCCCTGGCATGCGCCTGAGACCACGTTGGTGGCTGGCGTGTCCACGTGAGCATGGGGATAAAAACACTTCAGCAGACAGGGAACGGTCACTCTGGCCACGGAGGGCGTTCAGAACACCAGGGTGATGAGCGGCGAGGCAGGCAGGGGGCGGGGGGCGGCCTTACCTCAGCTTGGACCAGGAGCGCTTTCTTTTTTTTTTTTTTTTTCTCGCTCTGTCGCCCAGGCTGGAGTGCAGTGGCCGGATCTCAGCTCACTGCAAGCTCCGCCTCCCGGGTTCACGCCATTCTCCTGCCTCAGCCTCCCGAGTAGCTGGGACTACAGGCGCCCGCCACCTCGCCCGGCTAAGTTTTTGTATTTTTAGTAGAGACGGGGTTTCACTGTGTTAGCCAGGATGGTCTCGATCTCCTGACCTCGTGATCCGCCCGTCTCGGCCTCCCAAAGTGCTGGGATTACAGGCTTGAGCCACCGCGCCCGGCCCAGGAGCGCTTTCTGACCTTGGGCCTCCGTGTAAGTCCCAAGGAGGTCCTGGGGCAGGGGGAACGTGGGGGAAGGGCGTGACGTGCAAGGCGCCAAACCCACTGACCTCCTCCTCCTCGAAGCCCGTGAGGTCCCAGCGGTAGTTGAGCCGCATCTGTTTCCGCTTCCAGTGCTCCATGAAGGTGGCAGCTGCGGGCAGGGGCAAAACCAGAATCTCCGATGACATAAAGGCATTTTCTTTTTTTTTTTTTTTTTTTGAGACAAGAGTTTTGCTCTTGTTGCCCAGGCTGGAGCGCAATGGCGCGATCTCGGCCCACTGCAATCTCGCCTCCCGGGTTTAAGCAATTCTCCTGCCTGAGTCCCCTGAGTAGCTGGGATTATAGGCATGAGCCACCACATCCAGTTAATTTTTGTATTTTTAGTAGAGACAGGGTTTCACCATGTTGGCCAGGCTGGTCTCAAGCTCCTGACCTCAGGTGATCCACCTGCCTTGGCCTCCCAAAGTGCTGGGATTACAGACGTGAGCCACCACGCCCAGCCAAGGCATTCTTTTCTTTTTTATTGGTGTTTGGTGAGCGAGGGTGATGTACTGGGCTGAGAACTTTATCTGAATTCATGCGTTCAGCCCTCCCACCAATCCTGTGGGGCAGGAACCGTCATTCTCCCTTTTTACAGATGAGGAAACTGAGGCAAGGGACACTCAAGTCCCAACCGAGGTTACCCAGCTAGTCAGTGAGGGATGGGCAGCCTGGTCCCAGAGCCCGTGTCTCAACCATCCTGCCCCATTGCTCTTGGGGAACCCGCTTTGGAGGTCAGGAGGAACGAGGGGTGAGCCCAGGCCACTCACTCACTCGGGATTCAAACCACCCCAGGAGTCTGCCTGCTGAACGGCACTGGCAGCTGCTGCATTCGGCTTCATATTCCCAACAGACAAAGCATGGTTCAAATGCCGCCTCCTCCAGGAAGCCACTGATCATCCCCCTCAGTGTAAGAAAAACCCAGCTCCTCTCGGGACCTTCCTCAGCCTGCGTCTGTCTTGCCCACGGTGTCAGTGCTGCCTTCCATCAGGATCCCCGTCCCATGACTTGTGTGTGGGGCAGGGATGGGGCCTCGTTCCCCTGGGTCCCCAGTTCCCAGAGGTGCCTGGGACAGACAGGTGCTCGAGTAGGCACTGCATGACTGACTTTTGCGAGCACACAGCTTGCAAAAGGAGATGCCCCTGGCCGAAGTGTTTATCCTGATCGCTTCTCCCGGCAAAAGAAAGTCTGCAGAGGCTGAGGGGCAGAGTAACAGGAAGGCCACAGAGTTCCTCAGAGCTCACGATTCTCGAGCTGTTCCACGCCAGGCACTGTTGGGAGCTGGTCGATCTACAGACCTCTCCAGGACAGGGTCCTTGCATTTGTCTGAAGATGCTTAGTACAAATTTTCGGGCAATGCTACCGGAGTTCAATATCAGCCACTGAGCTCTGTGACCTTTGGCAAGTTATTTAGCCTCTCTGTGCCTCTGTTTCCTCATCCGTAAAATGGTGCCTTCTAATAATCAGACTTGGAGTATCAGTGAGGAAGCATCAGTGTCATTGAAGCCTCACAGTGATCATAGGAGGTAGGCACTATTCCCATCCTATCCATTTTACAGAGGGGGAAACTGAGGCTCAGAGGGATCAAATGGCTTATCCGAGAAGCAGCAGCACTGATGTGCAAGTAAAATGGGCTGTGTGACGGCAAACGTGCAGAGTGAATTCACAAACGTGGCCCTTAACTGAAGGCGACGTGTGGCAGGAAAGAACGGAAGTCGTGGGTGTGAACCTGTTTCAGAGGACGTGAGTCTATGCATAACACACGCCATTCCCATTAAGGCGAGGTGTGAATGGGGCTTCCGAGCATGCACCGGTTTGTCTAGGATGGCAACTCTATCAACTGGCCCAGCCTGGAAATAGGACCCCCCTACCCAGGTCTTTCACAGCGGGGTAATGTAATCCTGGGACTTGCTCGCACAGGCAATGGAAAAGCTGAGAAGCCACATGGGGGATGGTGGGACCACCCAGAGATGACCCACAGCAGGAGCTGGCATCCGTTTCAGGATGGCAGGACAGTAGGATGTGCTCAGCGCCCATGCTGGAGCCAGAAATTGGAGCTGCCCAGAAGAAGCTGGGATCACGGAGGAAGCGCTTCCCAGGAGGAAGTCAGAGCCCAGAGAAGATGCAGTCATTGCTGGGGATGTCCCAGGAAATGGAGGGAGATGGGGAGCAATATCTCGGCTGCTCCCTCCCTCCCGCCTTCTGATTTCCCAAAAGGACTTCCCACTGGCTGAACCTACTAGGAAGAGGGAGAGCTAGGGAGCCTGGGGAACGTGGCTTCCCAAGATGCAGAGCTGAGCAGGCGAGGGAACGGCTATCGCTGAAACACCTGCCAGAAACCCAGCCACTCAGCAGACACGCACTGAGTGCCATGGCTGCGGCAGGTGAGGGGGGCCACGGGGGCCCAGGAGGAGGCCCCCAACCCCTGGGGGCCCCTGACCCTCAGGAGGCAGATGGTGGGAGTGGCCTGTCTGCGGTGGGCACCCTCCCCAGGAGGCAATGCGGGGAGGTCTCTGCCTCTTTGAAGATGTCCTTTGGCCCCTGCAGCTGCTGTGGAGCGGTGGAGGGGGACAGCCGTTTCCTGGTCTCTGCCTGGTCTGCAAGGCCCCCAGCCGCTCCTCCACTGGGCTGTGAAAGCTGCCTCTCTCTGTCCTCCTCTGCCCACCCAGGGTAACAACGCCCTTTTGCGATGCTTTTTTGGGGCTGAGCACTGCCCAGGAGGGCTGGCTCCACGCACACCTGCAGAGTTGGCCTGTTTACCTGCCACGATGGTTAGTACTGAGTGTCAACTTGATGGGATGGAAGGATGCAAAGTATTGTTTCTGGGTGTGTCTGTGAGGGTGTTGCTAGAGGAGATTAACGTTTGAGTCAGTGTAGGGGGGAGAGGCAGACCCACCCTTAACCTGGGTGGGCACCATCCCCTCTGCTGCCAGCACGGCTAGAAAAAGCAGGCAGGAGAACGTGGAATCGCAGACTCGCTCAGTCTTCCGGCCTTCATCTTTCTCCCGTGCTGGATGCCTCCTGCCCTGGAACATCAGACTCTGAGTTCTTCAGCTTTTGGACTCTTGGACTTACAACAGCGGTTTGTCAGGGGCTCT